GGGTTCTGTTTCCCCCTCTGGGGTCGAGGGTACCTGGACCAAGTATGTTTGGGGAGGGTGATTGTGTGTACATGTCCATTTATGTCAATCCTTATGTTGGGTGAGTGCTGAGTGTTTGTATATGTGTGCATGAGTGTGGGAATGCATGTTTGTGTCTGTGTTGCCTGTTTGTCTGTGTCTATATGTCATGTCGGTCTTAGACTCCACTCTCTGGAACTCCCAGGCCCTCCAAAGTGGTGGAGGCCTATTCCCCCTCACACACTCCCTGCCGGTGACGATGCCTCAGGGTCGGTGCATTGGTGGTTCTTGGTGTCCGGGCTGGGCGCTCAGGTAGTACAGCTCACACCGGTGGCTACTTGCGGGGCCTGGCGCCTGTTGCTCGGTCAGCCTCTTCCGGGGTGCGGGGGGGGCCCTCGGGCCTCTGGGCTGCGGCTCGGTTCACTCTGGCACAACTGGCTGCCGGCAGAGTCGCGGGCCACACGGTGCAGCCCCCTCTAGCTTCTGCTCGGTGGCTACTGGGTGACGCCTCGTCTGGGGATCCTCAGCCCTTCCCATGAGGTGGCACGGATGCCCCTCCGGTGTCCTCCTTGGGATCTCGCACTCTGGGGCCTCTGGATTCTGGGCCTGGATCTCCTCCATGCCTGCTTCATGCCCTGCGGGACGGGGCTATGGCTCTCTACATCCTCTTGCAGACCATTACATGTGGAAACCATTTGAATACAAGCGCGCTGATCCACACAGGTGTGCACACAGGTGTTCACTGTTCGCACACCTTTCTTGGCTGCTACTTCAAAGCACATTGTGTGCTGTCTCTCCTGCGTGCTGCACAACAACATTCAATATTTAGTATTTACTGCTGTTTACACTTAGCTAGATTAATGCGATGGTGTTGTGTTTAGTATGTTGCGTTTTCTTTTTTCTTTTTTGCTTGTTTTCTATTCTTTTTCTCTCAACAGGTCATCCAGGAGATTTTTTTTCCCCTTTCTCACTGTCCCTCTCCCCTTCTGTTTTTCTTTTCCTTACTCTTTCTTTCTCCCTTTCCTATCCCTCACTCATGTCTGTCCCATTTGTAACAACTGAAAATAAAATAAAATAAATAATAAAAACAAAGGTCGATCAAATGGACCAATACGGCAATGCCACGATGATCCATTTGGCAAAATAAATCCATTGGGTATCTTTGTTGGTCTTCAGACAACAATTCTGACGGCTAAAGAACCAAATGGGACAGGCAAAAAAAAAAAAAAAAAATAGTCTCGGAGATACAGGTGGGCGGTTCACAGACCTCTGCCAGACTAAAACCCCGTACTTTCTTTATGCGCCGCTTGACTAGAGCCAAGAGAAATTGCGCCGTGGGAGACCGGGAGGGTTCGGAACAACCCTTAATAGTATGGACAAATCATAAAAACGTAACATATTTACATAGTGTTAAAAGACTAAATGCTTGGCAAGCAAGGTGGTCACTGTTTTTCGCTCGTTTTAATTTTTCCATTTCATATTGCCCAGGTTCAAGAAATATTAAAACAGACACTCTTTCTCAGCAGTTTGAGTCAGGTGAAGAAACCATGGAGGTGGCACCCATTCTTCCTGCTAACTGTGAAGTGGGGGAAGTAATGTAGGAGGTGCAGGACACTATCACATGGAGTTTATACATAGAACCAGATCCTGGCTGGGTCCAGCTAACCGGCAGTATGTATGTATGTGGGAAGACTGCCACCCTACTCAAGAGGTATTTTTGGTGGGAGACATTAGAGAGATATGCAAGAGACTACCTGGCAGTTTGCACCGTCTGATCTAGAAATAAAGCCCAAAATCAACCCCAGGCTGGTCTGTTACAACCACTATCCATCCCACATCCATCGCCCGTGATCGCACATTGCCTTAGATTTTGTCACAGGACTCACAGCTTTTTCAGGAAAGATATAGTCATACTCATGATCATAGTCCATTTCTTCAAAGCCGCCAATTTCAATGCCTTGGAAAAATTGCCCACGGCGTCCGAGATTGCCATCTTTTAGTTGAACATGTTTTTAAATTACATGGCATTCTGGCTGAGATTGTTTCTGACTGGGGCCCAAAGCCTGTTTAAGCTCCGGTTACCACCCCCAAACTACAGGCAGACAGAACGGCAAGAACTCGAGACTACTTTTTGTTGTGTCACTGGCTACACTGAAAAAAGAAAATAGTTGAACCAACTTAATTGAATTATTTCAATTGGTAACACCAAATTTAATTAAGTTCTTTGAAATGAAGTTAACACATTAGATTAACACAACTGATTTAAGTTACATGTACTTAATAAATTAATTGTTGTCAAATAAACATTTTGCATTAATCCAACTTAAAATTAAGACATTTCAACTTAAAGTTTTCAGTTTTTCCAACCCATAATTTGATAACCCAAAAGTAAAATATTGCTCTTTGCTAACCTAATAATGTGGTTTAGTGTAATTACTTTTTGTAGTGACTCTAAAATGAAATTTTAGTTTGTTTAATAAAGCTTAAATCAAATTTTTAAGTTGGCTGAAAATATTTTTCAAAAATTCAAAATCCAATGTTTTTTTTTTTAATGCTTTATTGTATAAATGTAATAAAGTATTACCTTTATGGCAACCAACACAGCTTTTGGTCAAACACATTACACATTTGTCCTTTTTAAAACACATATGCACAAAATGCAAGTAACGCTTAGTAGGACCACAAAGTTGTCATCAAAGTGTAAAGTGCAACACAGTATTACACAAATATCAATCTCAACACATATAGTGTCAACTATGAAAAAGTGCCCCAAGAGTATACAGAAACTTCCATTCAGCGCTATCTCCTGCTAACTGGCTCCCCGCTTCACGGGGAAAGGCAAAAAGCCCCCAAACAAACCAAAAACCAAACCCCCCCCCAAAAAAACAAAAAACAAAATGGTGGTGGCTAACCAACTGGACATAGTAGTGGTAGACAAGCAGAAGAAGACCGCTGTAAAGACAGACATAGTGATCCAAAATGAAAGCAACATAGAAGAAAGAACAAGAAGCTGAAGAAGTGTCAAACTCGAGAAGATTTGGAGGGTCAGAGTAACAGTGGTCCCAGTGATAATCGGAGCACTAGGTGCAGTGACTCCCAAGCTTGGTGAGTGGCTCCAGCAGATCCCAGGAAAAACATCTGAGATTGCTGGGTAAAAGAGCGTCGTTTTAGAAACAGCTAAGATACTGCACAAGACCCTCAAGCTCCTAGGCCTCCGGTAGAGGTCCTAAGCTTGAAGGATATTCCGCCTCCAGGAGCGAGAGGTGAATTTTTATAGTTTGATTAGATTATTTTGCAAAGGGGCAAGGGCATAGATTTGGCATGGACGGAAGGGACATGTCCCCACCAATATCCAGCGATTATTGAATTGTCCCCACCAATAATTTGATCTCTTCGAGTAAAGAAAAACAAACCTGATAGAAAGAAAAAACGATCTGTCAACGTCTCATTCACCCAGCGGTGCAGATAGAGTTAAATTACGTTCTCTATTGGAGTCCTACCTCATGTGACAAATATGGCCAATGTGACTGGTTGTGCCTTTCAAGGAGCTCTGTTTAGTTTTAGCAGCGGCAAGCCTGCGCCGCGAGGAGGAGAGGAGGATGGCAGCAAAAAGGAAGAACCTGGATATAAGAAAGTATTTTTCAAAGAAACCTGTAAGTCACTTAAAGCCAAGTTCACTCATAAAATGTGTCCGTCATAATAATGTTACAGGCTGTGCTAGGCTTTGGCCCACATCAGTCTAAAAATGTAACCATGAATAACGTGTTTTGGAAAGTAACTGCACAACATGCATTAGTTCTCTCAGTCTCAGAGCAGCATTTCTAATTTTGATTGAAACTGTCAGAGAAAACGGCAGCCTCGAGCAAGCCAGGATATTAGTTTACAGAGGCTGTTAAAATTGTATGTCTAACGTTAAAATGTTGGTGAGACAATAATTTCATCCTAATGGTACTGACATATTCATAGGGTTAATTTTTGAGACAAAATATCATGAGGTAGTCATGATTTTGCAAATATTTCATCTTGTAGTGCAGTTTACACAAATTGTTTTAAAAATGCACTCACCCTACAAACATTACTGATGAGTCAAGATCTGCACAAATTGACAGAAACACTGAAGCAGCTCCACATTTTATTCTTATTGTCAGGTATGTCCTATTTGTCAGGTGATAGAAAATAATGGTGATACAAGATCACAGGTGAAATTGGATGATGACTTATTGGTTCATTACTGTATTTGAAGCACATATGTGACTGCATGTATTTGGAATGTCTCACTGTTATTTATCAGGTGACAGAGGCAGCTCTGCCATGTTGTAGCTCAGACAGAGGTGAAGATGCGAGGTCACAGGCGACTGACTGATGATTTGGTGCTATAGATTAACTAGTATTTATTATCATGACAATTGTTAGGCTGCTGAAGTAAATTGATTTATTAGTGTATATTTGACAAAGAATCTGAATTGACATGTCTCACTTTTTATATGGCACGAATCAATGTGTTATTTTATCAGGTGGCAATATGTCCTAGTGCAGTCAGAGGGGAAGAGCCAGGGCCAAAGGTGAGGTACATGTTGGGCGACCGTGGCTCAGGGGGTTGGAAATCACATCTGTGACCGGAAGGTCGCCGGTTCGATCCCTGGGCTCTCTGTCCTGGTCGTTGTGTCCTTGGGCAAGACACTTTACCCTACTTACCTACTGGTGTTGGCCAGAGGGGCCGATGGCGCGATATGGCAGCCTCACTTCTGTCAGTCTGCCCCAGGGCAGCTGTGGCTACAATTGTAGCTGCCTCCACCAGTGTATGAATGTGAGAGTGAATGAATAGTGGTATTGAAAAGCGCTATATAAATCCAATCCATTATTATTACATCAAGCACATAGTAATAATTTTAATCTGAGGATAAAACGCATGTACTGAGGCTAAAAGAAGCTTCAGTGCTCTCAGAAGACTAAAAAGATGGGTAAGGTCAACAATGACTCAAATGAGATTAAACAATGCTGCTGTATGTCCACCAGGAGACACTGGACAGTATAGATGTAAAACCAATATGCCAGCAGTTTATCTCAGTTAACGAGAGGAGAAGGCATGTGTTTGGCTCCTTCACATAGCGGACATTGAGTTGTGGTGTGGGACACCAGTAGTCCATGTCTGTTGCTGTAACAGTAGTTCATGTTTAGAATAAAACATCTCAGCTCACTGATCTGATCGGGGCAATGGTGGCTAAAATGTTGCATAATTTTGCTGAGAGATCTTTTACTTTGTGGTAATCTTAGATGAGTAGTTTTAAGGACAAAAACCACCAGGTCATTCAGTGTTCCCTTAGTGCTAATGTATCAGAGATGTTGGTGCAGTATAACTGAAGTAATGTTGTTAAGTCCTCAAAGTCATATTCTTTTATTGTCATGACTGTATTTGAAGCCATTTTTATTTTTGTATGATACCTGATTTATATGGAATATGACTGAAGTAAACTAAAGTCTAAAATACTTAGTCAGCCATTTGTTTAATAGTAATTTAACATTATCTAATTCACATATAAAACCATGAATTGTAATTTTAAATGGTTTAAAAGCATGTAGAATAGGATATGTAGGCAAGTATATTTCTCCTTTTTTTATCAAGAAGCAAAGAGAAAAAGGGAAAAAAAAAGAAACAAGGCACTGTTCGATGGTTGAATCATCTGTCCCCACCAATGCCAAAATCAAATCTACGCCCTTGCATAGGGGAATTGCAGTAAATGTAGTAGTAAATAAAGTATTTTTTTTAATTTACTGAAAATAAGTATGTCATCATTTTCAAAATTCAATGTAGTGTGCATTTCCTTGGCAATGCAAGAAAAATTTTTCTAAAGATCTCTTTCCACCTAAGTGCCACCTAAGGTGAGAGCCTTATATTTTCTTGTGAACTGTAAATCATAGGATTTATATAACCAGTGACTGGCATGTATTTTCAAAGAAATACAGGTAGATTAAGAATAGTCTTCTGATTTTCAAAGCAACAGTTTTTAAAAATTAACCTTATTTATAAAATCTGTAATATTGCTAAGCTTGGATTTTTCACAATACCTGCTGATGTAGCACAGTTATTATGAAATTTCTATTATGCCCATCCCACATTACTGTCCATGCCCTGGTGGGTGTGGATCAAAAAGTGATGAAAGGGGTTGACATAGGCTTCTATATAAAATCAAGGAGCCATGAATACAAATAAAAAAGAATGAGGCAGTTATGGGGGGCTTTCTTGTCAGATATTTGCTTATGTTTATCTGTCTGTTAATGATTTTATTGTCTTCCTTTCTGGAGTCTTCCTTTCCACCTTCATCCTGTAAATTGCAAAATAAATTTAATCTCAATGGCATACACAGGCCTGGGGATGTAATTCTGGGAGGGTTATTTGAAGTCCATTACAGTTCTGTATTCCCTGAGCGGACGTTCACCTCAGAGCCAGATCAGCCTAACTGCCGTGGGTAAGTCTCATCCATGTAGCTGACAAAATTCTCTCATTACTATTATTGCTTAGAATTTAGTTACTCTTTTTCATTTTTTGTGTATTTTAGATTTGACACCCCTGGATTCAGACATGCCATGACCATGGCCTTTGCTATTGATGAGATAAACAAGAATTCGAAGATACTTCCTAATGTGACTCTGGGATACAGCCTTTATGACAATTGTGCTACACTTGAGATTGGGTTCAGTGCAGCATTGTCATTAGCCAGCGGTCAAGAGGAGCAATTTTGGCTTCTGGAGAACTGTTCAGGGACCCCTTCAGTTGTGGGGATTGTGGGTGATCCTTTCTCCACATTTTCTATTGCTGCCTCAAGTGTTCTTGGTTTATTCAAGCTTCCTATTGTGAGTTTCCCAATTCTACTTTTTTGTGTGCTTCTGATATACTGCATTTTAATTTATCTACATTGTTAAATAAAATTATCTGAATGTCCCTTGCAATTTGCACAATTGGATTTTATAATATATGCTTCTTGACAGGTGAGTTATTTTGCCACTTGCTCCTGTCTGAGTGATCGACAGAGGTTTCCATCCTTCTTTAGAACAATCCCAAGTGATGCTTTCCAGGTAGAAAGTTGCACAATAAGAATTAAGTTTTTATCTGAGGTTAATTACTGACAGAAAACTTAGACATGAGCCAAACCAGTCAAAGAAATACTTTTTGCAAAATTTTGCATATTTGCAAAAAGTATTTCTTTAAATAAAAATACAATGTATTTAGGTAAAAAGTGTTATCATGAGAAGTTAACTTTTATTTAATGTTATTTTTTAAACTTTCATTAAATTAACTTTTTGATATTAGACATGAACAAGCAAATTTTCACTAAAAGAATATTTACACATGTACACTAACAACTTCAATCTCTTTTCATGTAGGTCCGTGCTATGATTCAGATTCTAAAACACTTTGGCTGGACATGGGTAGGTCTGCTAGTCAGTGATGATGATTATGGCCTCCATGTTTCCAGATCCTTCAAGTCTGACTTTCTTCAATTAAGTGGAGGTTGTTTGGCCTACTCAGAGATTTTACCTTGGGAAGATCATCCAAATGAATATAAGAAAATTGTGGATCTGATGGCCAGATCCACAGCTCGTGTTGTCATTGTGTTTGCACATCAAATACACCTGATTCATCTCATGACAGAGGTTAGGGAAAATATCATAAAACACATTGCAGGTAATGTATTACAAGAGAGTAAAAACATAACTGCAATGCAATCCACAGGTGGTGAAACAAAATGTGACAGGCTTGCAGTGGATTGCCAGTGAAGCTTGGACAGTAGTTGGTGGACTCCATACCCCTGAATTTATGCCATTCCTTGGTGGAACACTAGGCATTGCCATCCGACGAGGAGAAATACCAGGCTTTAGAGACTACTTGTTAAAAATTAATCCCGCAGAACAGAATAGTGCAAGCAACATGGTGAGAGGGTAACTTAATAAACTTCAAGTCAAATTTTCTGTAGGTTATTTTTGTTGACCTGTTTTTGTTTCTCTGGTTGTTGTGCATTTTAGGTGAAGCAGTTTTGGGAAGATACATTTCACTGTAGATTTTCAGCAGACTGGTTGGAAGATGGTGGGACACTTTGCACTGGAGAAGAAGAGCTTAGGAATGCTGAGACTGAACTTTTGGATGTGACTGAACTCAGGCCTGAGTATAATATTTATAAAGCTGTGTATGCTCTTGCACATGCCCTTGATGACATGCTGCACTGTGTTCCAGGGAGAGGACCTTTTATTGGGCACAGCTGTGCCACTTTGCAAAAATTAGAGCCATGGCAGGTTTGATGTCATTTTATACTCCAGTCATTCATATTTTACCAAAACTTTATGGAAGAAAGATAATTGTGTAGCAACTAATAATATAGTTTCATGTCTCGCTGCTTTAAAGAGACAATAGCAAGAAGTTTTATTATTAATTACTGTATGATTGTACATTGATGAACTAAGTAATAGACTTAATTCCAGGTTGCTCCAATAATTGGTGTATAAAAGAAGAAAAAAGTTCATAAGCCTTTATCTATCACTTTTATAGCTGATGTATTACTTGGAAAAAGTCAATTTCACAACTCCATTTGGTGATCAAGTATTTTTTGACGAGAATGGTGATGCCTTACCTATCTATGATATCATGAACTGGCTGTGGCTCCCTGATGGAAGCACTAAAGTTCAGAATGTGGGTGAGGTTAAGATGTCAGCTTTCAAAGGTGAAGAAGTCACACTTGATGAAAACAAAATCTTCTGGAACTTTAAATCAAAAGAGGTAAATTCTCCTATTCATACAATTTGCTTTCAAACAAAAGGATAGTAGAGTACACAATACAAGTATAATTGGTGTTAAATAACTTTTTAAAAATAATAATTTTTACCCTTAAGCCAACTACATCAGTTTGCAGTAATAACTGCCCTCCAGGAACACATATAGCAAGGAAGCGGGGAAAGCCTGTGTGTTGCTATGACTGCATCCCTTGCTCTGAGGGAAAGATCAGCAATAACACTGGTTTGTATCATTTGACATTATAATGCATGAGATGTGCGATGTTTCTTTGTGTTTAGCAGTGTACGGTCCTATGGTGGCTTTTATTAACACCAAGTCAAAATTATTGTGAGAGTGGTTTCCAGTTACACATCAATGAAAATATTACTAGATGAAAATACTGACTGTCCATTTTATTGTACAAGACACTCATAATATGACAAAACAGTGTGAAACCAAATGAAGAAATCAATCTCAATTCTTCCCATTTTTTTAGATTCCTTAGAGTGCACCAGTTGTCCAGAGGACTTCTGGTCAAGCCCCCAGAGAGATCACTGTGTTCTTAAGAGAACAGAGTTCCTCTCCTACCATGAGCCCCTGGGAATCTGCTTGACAACCACCTCACTGTTGGGCACATTTATCTGTACTGTTGTTCTAGGAATTTTCACATATCATCGCAGCACACCTATGGTGCGTGCAAACAATTCAGAATTGAGCTTTCTGCTTTTAGTGTCACTTAAGCTGTGTTTCCTTTGTTCACTGTTATTCATCGGAAGACCCAGACTTTGGACATGCCAACTGAGACATGCAGCATTTGGGATCAGCTTTGTGCTTTGTGTCTCATGTATCCTGGTGAAAACTATGGTTGTTTTGGCTGTGTTCAAAGCCTCCAAGCCAGGAGGGGGAACCAATCTTAAGTGGTTTGGTGCTATGCAGCAGAGAGGGACAGTTCTGGTTCTTACTTCCATTCAAGCTGCAATCTGCACTGCCTGGCTTGTCTCTTCCTCTCCAACTCCACATAAAAACACCCAATACTACAATGACAAAGTGGTGTATGAGTGTGCTGTTGGGTCTACAATTGGCTTTGGAGTGTTACTGGGTTACATTGGTGTGCTGGCTTTCCTTAGCTTTCTGCTAGCATTTCTAGCCAGGAATCTTCCAGATAATTTCAATGAGGCCAAATTCATCACATTCAGCATGCTGATCTTCTGTGCCGTGTGGGCGGCCTTTGTCCCTGCTTATGTAAATTCTCCTGGAAAATATGCAGATGCAGTAGAAGTATTTGCCATCTTGGCCTCAAGTTTCGGGCTATTGGTGGCACTGTTTGGACCCAAATGTTACATAATTCTGCTGAAACCAGAGCGAAACACAAAGAAGGCAATCATGGGTCGAGAGACCACCAAGCCATAAAACCAACATCTGTAGGATAATGACCAAAAATATATTCATATTAATGCAGCCATAATTTGTCCTTTAAATGTTTTTATACAGTTTTACACATTAGTATTGTTTATTTGTACTTTATTTGTACTATAACAAGTACCCATGCATATCTCCCACATCATTGAAAACGTCTCTGAATATCTCTCAGTGCACAACATTATTGGCGCTGTGTGTCAATTTTGGCTGCTCCTTAGCTTGTTATGTAAACATCTACAATCTTCATGGTCAGAATTCTTCTAATGAATTCCACCCATGATTCTTTAAGTGCAGTGACCTCTTGTTTTACGTCTCTAATGATATTATAATAGTTAACTGGTTGAATACTTCACAGCTTTTATCAAGCCCACTTATTATGGTCTACATCTATATATATCGATATAGATGACAGATATATATCTGTCAGTATAGGCTTTTCAAAGAAGAGAACCTATTGTCACAGAATTCACATATGCTTTGATTTTAGAAAAAGATGACTATATCAAAACGTGACTCATTTTCACCATTTTAAATGTAAATTTTCAGCAATGAAAAATGTTAATATTAAATGAGGACATATCAACTTGAATGATTCCATTGCCACAGGAATGGTATTTACTTAGAATAACCCCTTTCTTTCTTAAGATATGGTTAGTCAGAGCACTCAGAGAGCACAACTCTCCGTGAAGGCCAAGGTCTATGCTAAAACTTTGTTTTATGTTATTTTTATTTTGCTGGTGTCTGACCTTTGACCTATGATTTGAATGATTACATATTAAATAGTTAAATTTCTTTACCACAGAACTGGTTTGTTGGTATATTTGGCTTGTATATTGATATTTTAAGATATATTTATGCAGTGGGTAATTTTGCAAAACATTGTGGCATCATTGTGATACATTGGGTGTTGTATTTAAAAAAGTGTGTTGTAAAGGTTTTTTTTATCTGTGAAAAAATTTTCAAGAAACTCATTGTTTTCTTGAAAGTTTTTTCAAGGTCAATTCTATCCTCGGACTCTAACAATGAAGAGTGAAGTCATGTCCCCCAATGCCTAGTATATCATTGTTAAGTTTGAAAATGTCCCTAAAAACTGACTGACAGACAAGCAAATGGAACCAGTTACATATCCCTTCCTGATAATTAAACCAAATATCGATCTGTCTAATGATAAAGGAAAATGGGCTGGTTCTTATAGTTCTAATAGTGCTTTCCTACTCTGAGCACTCAAAGCTCAGAGTGGTACAGAGACACAACATGCCTCTTCCATCTAAAGTTCACATGCATACTCATTCATACTCCGGTGGATGCATCAGGGAGGAACTTGGGGTTAGTATATTGCCCAAGGGTATTTTGCAAGCATACTAAAACAGACAGGGATCAAATCAACCTTCCGATGAGTAGGTGATCTGCTCTACCTCCTAAGTGACATGCTCTACTAAAACAAATACCTGATAGTCAAACAGTCAAATATAGTGATAGCACCAGTACATATATGTAGGTTTATTCATACAAATAGGATATACTCAAACAAAAGACCCTGCTAGGCTATTTGTCATTAAACACATCAAAAATGTATTTGAATATTAAGCAAGATTGACATTCATTTTCCAAATCCAAAAGTACAAAATCTTTAAAGTACATTTTACAAAATATATGGTTCAGTGCTTTTATACATTTATTAATACAGCACAGCATTCAGACTATGTTTATATATTCATATTTATTTCAGTGTGGTGACATGTCTGCAGCCATACCCTTGAGAGTGCTGAAAAAAATTAAACAATGACGCAAAGCATGTTAAAGGGATAACACACCCCTCATATAAAGTAGAGAGACCTTATAAAAGAAACAATGATACTGAAGGTGGAGATCAGCTATGGGGGGCTTCCAGGTCACATATATTTTCACAGGTGTCTCTTTGGTCTTACTTTTTTTCCCTTTTTTCTTTTTATGCTTTGTGTCTTCTTCACTTTCTTTATCTTGTAAGTTAGAAAGAAAGTTTCATCTCAATGAAATGCACAAGCCTGGCGATGTGGTACTGGGTGGGTTGTTTGAGGTCCATTACACTTCTGTCTACCCAGAGAGAACATTTACCTCAGAGCCTCAACAGCCTCACTGCACTGGGTAAGTGTCACACAAATATGACATCAGCAGAGACATGTACAAATAATAACTATTCAAAATATTCATGACAGATCTAAATTATATACAAGATAACTTCTCTATCTTAGCATACATATGTCAAAATATTAATTACACTTCTTATTTTGTATTAACATACACTCGTTTTAGGGTTCATTTTGTATATCTCTGCTTGTTTTCATGTTTGCAGATCTCTTTTAGTGAACAATACTGACGTAACGTTTGCTTGTTTGTTAGCTTTGATATTGTAGGGTTCAGGAATGCAATGACTATGGTATTTGCTATTGAAGAGATCAACAAGAATTTAAATTTGCTACCTAATGTGACTCTTGGATACAGTCTTTATGACAACTGTGGTGCCCTTGTTGTTGCACTCAGCGGTGCCTTATCACTAGCCAGTGGCCAGGAGGAGCAGTTTCTGCTTCAGGAGAACTGTTCAGGGATCCCTCCAGTCCTTGGGCTTGTTGGTGATCACTACTCAACATTTTCTATTGCTATTTCCAGTGTGCTAAGTTTATACAATATACCTATTGTAAGTTTTAAGTTTCATATTTTTATGCTTGCACTGTGCATTTTATTTAAGTGTAGTATTGATCCCCTGCGGTACATTTTGGCGGTACTTATAATAGCATTTGGACTGGCTTTTACTTGTATGATGTGTTAATATGTCTCTTGTATATTTGTAATAGGTGAGTTATTTTGCCACATGCTCCTGCCTCAGTGATCGTCAGCGTTTTCCAACTTTTTTCAGAACCATCCCAAGTGATGCTTTCCAGGTAAAACATAATTACCAAGTTAAATGAAATATACCATAGTTTCAGGAAAGGACTTTGAAATTATTTCTAATGACTTTGATGTATTTAATGAATAAGATAAATTATAGAGGTTGCATTAATTGGTTTCAGATGTATATTTATAATTTTTTTTAAAATAATACACTCATCTCATATCCACTTAGGTGCGTGCTATGATTCAGATTCTAAAACACTTTGGCTGGACTTGGATAGGTCTTCTAGTCAGTGATGATGATTACGGACTCCATGTTGCCCAATCCTTCCAATCTGACCTGGCTAAATCTGGTGATGGTTGTCTGGCCTACTTAGAGATTTTGCCCTGGGACAGTGACCCAAGTGAACTGAAGAGGATTGTACATTTGATAAAGACATCAACAGCTCGTGTGGTCATAGTGTTTGCACATGAGATACACTTGATTCAACTAATGGAAGAGGTTGGAAATAAAAAAATGTTCACATAGATAATTTTTATTGCAGCATTGTACTTTATTTGTCTAGACAAAAATGACTGCCATTGAAGGTAAAATAGGTATTCTAATAATTAGATTAAACTGATAACATTAAAAAGCAGAAACATCACAATGAAACTTAATCAGTTTTATGTTATCAAAATGCCCCAAATGTGCAAGAAAAATAAACATTGTTTATTTAACTAACTTCATATCAATAACTTGATAACTTAATAGCTATAGTGAGAACCTACATAAATTTTGTATTCTAAATTTATTATCATAGGTAGCGAAGCAGAATGTGATAGGTCGCCAATGGATTGCAAGTGAAACATGGACAACAGCATCAGTGCTCCAAACAGCCCACCTCACTCCGTACCTGCGTGGCACATTGGGCATTGCCATCCGCAGAGGCGAATTACCAGGGCTGAGGGAATTCCTGTTAAAAATACACCCAGACCAAAGTGACAATGGAAGATACAACAATAATTTGGTAATAATTCTGAAATAAATATAATTTGAAAGTATATCTAAAATGAATGAGAATGAGACATGAAATAAATAAATATTTTCTATTATCTCTCAATACTTTTATTCCATTACAGGTAAATCAGTTTTGGGAATTCACATTTCAGTGCAGATTTGCACCAGCTCCTGCAGGCTGGCTGGAAGGTGGAGGAGCGCTATGCACTGGGCAGGAGCATATTGAAAATGTGGACACTGAGTTTTTTGATCTTTCTAATCTCAGGCCTGACTACAATGTGTACAAGGCCGTGTATTCTCTCGCATATGCTCTTAATGACATGTTGCATTGCAAGCCAGGAACAGGACCCTTCAGAGGGCACAGCTGTGCTACTTTGCAAACAATGGAACCATGGCAGGTATGGTATCAATTTATACATTTTTGTTTGAAAAGCTACTGTGTCACTGAAGTTTTTGTTATTGAAAAAGGTCCATTATTCTATAAGGGCACTGATATGTTTGCAATGAATTTCCATTATTTTCTTTCCAAAATAAAAGAAATGGTAGAAGTAGTATTTTTTTAAATAATTAAGAAAAATTAGATGAAACAACATTCTGAATTACAGTCTACCTTGATGCTGTTCCTTCTTTTTTTCCATTAACCTTCATTAGCTCATACATTATTTACAAAATGTCAACTTCACCACTCCATTTGGTGATCAAGTATCCTTTGATGAAAATGGTGATGCATTGCCAATATATGATGTCATGAACTGGTTACACCTACCTGATGGACAAATTAAAGTTCAGAATGTTGGTGAGGTTAAAAGGTCAGGCTTTAAAAGTGAAGAACTCACCATTGATGAAGACAAAATGTTCTGGAATTTTGAATCAGGAAAGGTTATTTTTACTTTTCTAAATAACTTCTTTTAAAAAAATACTGAGTGAAGTAGTGTATATTGAACCTTGTATGTAATCAGTTTGTCTTTCTCTAGCCACCCCGATCAGTGTGTAGTGAGAGCTGTCCTCCAGGCACCCGGATGGCTAGAAACAAAGGACAACCAGAGTGCTGTTTTACTTGCATTCCATGTTCAAAGGGAAAAATCAGCAAAAACAACAGTGGGTATTTGTAATTCAAGGATAT